AAAAAAAAAAAAAAAAGCAAAGGAGAAGAACTTCTCAACCCAACTAGAGCTGGGACTGGCTGACCATACACAGTATCTAAATATTATAAATATATATATATAAATATCTATGAAAGCCTTTTGCTGCGAGGAGGAGCGCWGCCAGCGGGAAGGGCTCCAGGAGCCCCCGCTCTGGCCGCCCTGCTTCCCCCCGCCCGGCATCCCGCGGGATCCGGCCAGACCTGCGCGGCGGCCGAGACCTCCGGCGGCCTCCGGGCCTTTTTGAACAGTGTTAAACTCGCTGGTGATCCCAGCGTTTCGTTTTCCGGGGGCGGCGGGTGGGAGAGGATGGGGAGAGGACTGTCTGTTTGCTCCATCGTGTTTTTGGGGGAGGTTTCTTGTATTTTTCCCGTCTTTCCTTGGCGAGCGAGCTGCATGCCACCCCGTCCAGGAGCAGGAGCGAGGTGCCCGAACAAGTGCGTTTTCGTTCTGATTTTCACTTTTATATTTCAATTTGGGGGCCTATGGGTGGGCATGGAGGGGTCTCCTTTTTTTTTGTCTTTTTTTTTKSCYTTTTTTGAAAGAAAAAAGYCTTTTTTTTTWAAACCATTGAGTCGCCTGCTGCTGCTACACGGCCTGTGCGTCCCCTTCCGTCCGCCGTGCCGTCTCCGGCCTCTTTTCCTGCCCGCGGGAATGCCGCTCCGGATTCTTTTCCCGCCCATCCGTCCCCCTGCCGCTGGCTCTGGCTCTTCCTCAGGGTGTGCGCACTGACCTCGAACCCCCTCCGGCCGCATGCCGAGGCTCCCTCTCTGTTTTTTTTAATTATTTTTTAATTATTATTTTTTAAAATTTTATTTTCCGTGTGCCCCCTTTCCCGGGAGGCATTTACACATTAAAGGTGATCTCTGTAACTAAGGCGGGGGGGTGCCTCGTTTGTCCGTCTCGTGCCGGGGTGTTTTTCATCGGCAAGGCCTGCCGTGGTGGCTACCAAGGTACCTCGCCTTGGACTTGCTGGTGGGTTTGTTCCCGTTGGATTATTGTTATTATCATAGGTCATTTTTTGCATGCAAGATGCTTCCAGGGTGAGAATGGAATGGATGGGTGGTGCTGGGGTGGGATGGGGCTGGACATGCGAGCCCAACTCCACGGTCCCTGGGTGCTTGAGATGCCCCAGTTTGGGTGGGTTGGGGGTCTAGGCAAGACCAGGCTCCCAGGTGAGAGCAGGGACCGCAAATGGTGTCTCCATCCAATGCCTGGATGGGGAAATTCCTCTCCAGATTGCCCTGGAGAGGCATTTCCATCCTGGAGAAGCATGGTGGCATCACATGGTCCCATTGGACCTCTCCTGTCTCCAAGGCGGAGAAGGACCAAAGGAGAGCCAAGGTGGGTGGCTTGGTCTTGCCTAATGATGTTTGGATGATTAGGAGGGGCTGGAAGAGGAAGGGAGAAGGGTAGAAGTTTCTTACCAAGTTGCTTTGCAGGTCGCGCTTTTGATGCACGGGCACCTCTTTGGAAGGTCTAAGGAAGTGATAAGTGAGTGGTGGCCACGGCAGCCCATCGTCTGTTCAGGGYTGGTGACAAGGGAGGCAGTTTTCTAGCAGGGGGAATGCCCTAGAGATTGAATTTCAGTGAGCCAAGCTGAAATCATGCAGGACCATCTGGTGGGATGTTGTCTGCTTGTACCAAAGCGCATAGTTGGATTCCAGGCAGTCTCTGAGGCTGCCCCTGTCACCACTGCTGGTTTCTAGCAGGAGGCTTTGGGTTAACTTGGACTGACCTGAAACCCAACTCTTAGTCTTCTCAGGAGGCTTCTTCAGCTCCAGACCCCACCTTATAGTCTGGGAGCAACATGTCAATGTGCAGAGYGAGGTATCAGGAGCTACCGGGTACCTTGGGACCCTGTCTCTGGAAGCTGAAGCTCAACTAATTTGCAATCCTGGAAATTCAGATGGAAACTGCAGGCTCAGACGCTGTTAGGAGGTTTCAAGTGCTCCTTGTCCTTGATGAAAAGAAACCATTCCCTTTGGGAAAGGAGGCTCAATTGCAATCAAGAAGAAATCCCCAAACACAGATGCAAAGGAGACTGGCTGAAGCTCCTGGGGCAAGCGCTTGGGGACAGGTAGGTGGCACAGGAGGCTTTCCAGGGTCTTCTCCCCCTGGAGCCACCTAGGGCGTGCAGGAACGAGGGGTGGCTGAGTGTCCACAGGGAAGAGCCAAGGAGAGCACTAGAGCCCCAGAGCCAGGCCCAGTTGTGCTCAGGGGAGAGCRGGAAGGAGGATAGGGGCAGGTGGGAGACGGGAAGGGGGATGGATGATGGTGGTGGGGCAGGCGAGGAAGGGCGAGAGCTAGAAGCCCTTCATGGACCTCCAACCACTATTGGGAGAGYGCAAACCTACCGGAGAGAGCATGGAGAGATGGCTCAGTTGCCCCTATGGGAAATCAGTGAAGGGATCCCTAAAAACCTAAAAAAATCCTTTTTTGTGTGTGTGTGTATGTGTGTTTTAAYGTTTGCCATCATTACAAAGTGGAAAACCAAACATGCTTTCGAATGAGCGACTGATGGGAGAGAGCTCCTCTGCGGTGCATACATCCATTATATATATGATGCTTGCGTCCAATGTATATATAATGTTTGTGTGGGTGGGTATTTTATCTAGGCCTAAGTAAGTCGTGCTTTCCTTTTACCATTCCTAACTAATATAACTTGACTAAAAGAAGTTGCTGCAGTGGGTTTGCAGAATAAAGCACTTTGAATCTCAGAAATATTGTTTTTTTTTTTCCTTAGCACAGTCCAATTCGCTATAATATTATTTTATACACAAATTTTTTTTGGTCTGTCTTTAAGCTATTATAAGTACTATTTTTGTTATAATTCAAAATAGATATTTAGTATAAAGTTTTGCTGTTAAATATTTGTTATTTAGTAAAATATGATTTTTTTTCCTCTTTATTGTAAACATTGTCTGGAAAAATTATTAATATGTTTTATCACAGTTGTTTTTAATATTAAAAAAAAGAAAAAAGCACTTGTGGGGTTTTTTGTTATGAAATTGGTGCCGTGTGAACATGTGTTTCAGTCATGTGGTTTTTAATATGTATATAATATTCTGTGTCACATATTAGAATGAATGTTGTGTATTTCGTGATCTTTAAAAAAAAATAATCCATGTGGCTATTTTATAGACTTCCCTAATAAAAAGAGCTGAATCTCCACACCTTCTCCAAACCTTCCTTTATTTCATACTCTTCTCCTCTCTTCTTGAAGGGCTTGTGGTCTCCTGGCTTGGGGTCTCAAGGCAACACCCCTGTCCCACGAACTGGGATTTTTGGAACATGGGAACTGGTGGTTGGAGTGATGATCTCTGATGAGTTTCTCTGCTCCCTCCATGTTATGGTCAGGAGGATGGTGGTGGCCGTGGGCAAAATGCAAATATCTACATACAGGAAATTCCACTTAAATGCAAGAAAAAGCTTTTCTATTGCCAGGGCATTCAGGCCTGGCAACAGGTTGCCCAGAGAGACTGTGGAGTGTCCATCCCAGAAGATGGTCAAAATCTAGTGAACCACAGCAGCCTACTCCAGCTGACCCCTCTGGATGTCCCTTCCCAGCTGGGTGGCCCCGTTTTTCAGATCCTGGCCATCCCAGTTTTCCTCTCCCCGGCATCTACCAGAGTTGCAGGTGCTGGGCAGAACCAAGAAAGGGACAGGAGAGGAACTTGCCTCCAGCTGCTGGTGATGGTCTTGGTCATTACCACTACCTCCTTTGGGAGGCTGCACCCCACATGGGTGGGATGGACTGCCCATCACAGGGATGATGTTGCTGCAGCAAACAGGACCATTTGGGGAGCTCCTCTTTGCTTCCATCCGAAGCCCTTTCTTCAGGGGCTGGGATGGTGCCATGGCTTGAAGAATACGCAATTGACAACAGATGCATTAAAATGATGGCATTAAAAGACTTCTGCTACTGGGCATGAAAAGCTAATATAGGGGAGGGCAGGCAGAAAATGCATTCCTGGGATAACCTGGATAGAAAGGACCCCATGTCCTTGCAGAACATGGATCGGTGGCAGTGGTACTGCTTGTTTGGTCCCTTCATCTCACACTTGGGCTACCAACTGATTACCTGCTTGGGCAACCTGTTCCTGAGCAAAGCTGCAAGTGTTGCCAGATCTGCCAAGCTTGGGGCCTCCAAAACCCCTCAAGCTTTGGGAACCTTTGATCTCAAGCCTCTGTTGAAGGAGGTGGTAGAGGAGCCGTTTTTCATGGGACGGAGTAGCCTAGCATGTTGGTGGTATCTTTGCTGCGGGATGAGTGTGGAGGGCTCAGGTGAGTTATTAGGTMATTAGTTAAGTAATTAGCTTCGGTCTCCGTGCTCTTCTCCCAGTAACGTGAGTGCTGCTGCTGTCCTGGCTGCAGTGGGAGTGCTGGAAAGCAGGAGGCTGCAAACCCTTCGCACGCGCACGGAAGTGACGGCCCAAGGAAYGAACAGAGCCCGGTACAGTAGGCTGGAAAATATGACCGTGTAACCCAAGACCGCGTCCCTTGGAGGGGATCTGCGGCCGCGGTGCCTCCCCGGGGCGCTCCGCAGCCTCTCTCTTTTCCTGGTTGCTGTCGGGAGGGGTCCTGCCAGCGCCGGCCCCGCAGCATCCGCGCGGCCGTCRCCAGGGAAGCACCGTGCGGCTGCGCGCGTCCTGGTCCCTGGTCACCTCCTTGCCCTTCCTTTCCCTTCCAACCC